AAGTAGAGTGTCTCTATAAAAGAGGAAGCCCCTCAGAGAGATGGTCTGACACAGTGACTGTATCCGTGACCTCAGACATTACAGTAACTTAGAGGGTGGTGCAGGTCCAGGTCCAGGCAGTATCTTGTGCTATACATAGTGTTGTTGTGAGTCACAGTATATTCAGTGACACCTTACAACAATAGCATGGGCCTGGGAAGATGAGATAATCCATTTTTTGTGTGACACAAACGGGTAAGCACTTGGATGTTAACAGTAAGCTTACCAGGTTGAATTTACCCAGAAGTCCCTAGGAAAAAAGTCCTGGCTTCCAGCTTATGAAAAGTCACAGCAGTTGAAAACCATGTGGAGCACGGTTCTACCCTGACACATGTGGAGCCACCAGGACTTGGGGTTGACAAGATAGCAGTTTTGCTTGTTGTTTTTAAATGGCTCTGATCAGTGGAAAAGGACATGACTTTAAGGTGTCTTGCTGAAACTGGGACATGAGAGAGGCCAACTTGTTGACCACGAGTGTCCAGCTTGGAGAGGTTTTATCTGCAGCACACCACCTGCCTTTTCTGAGACCATCAGTTCAAGGCTCTTTGAAGTTAGACAAATTCTCTTCCCTTCACATTATGTGGAGTTATTGTTGGTATGTGCTTCTTGGTTGAACTCAGCTCATAGCTGAACTTCCAGTGGGTTTTTAGAAGCTGTAAATTAATTGTGAAGGAGGAAATTGCCCATCTTTTTCCTGCAGAGCAGCTGGTGGATTTGAATTGTGTGCCTCAGGGTTGTTAGCAAAACAACTACTTACCCACTAGAACTCATTTTGAGGAGGGGAAAAGCTAATGAATACGTAAGACTTACACAGAAAAATGGAGAAATAATAAGCATTATAATTATTATCATCTCAATGAATATTCACAATTTAGAGGCACCTTTGTAACGGTAAAGGAACTCTGAACATTTCATCTGTAGGGATGTGCACTGTAAAACCGGCCGTGCCTCTCTGGCAGTTCTGACCGACTAGCCACTTTGTGGGAGGAAGATGACCAATCTCCTGTATGATTTACAGCCTTAGAAATCTACTAGAGGCTTAGATGTGATTGGGTTCAGAGTTAATAGCAATGCACTTGAGTTTAGGTCTGATGTAACCAATATCCAGATTAAGTTTATCTTCTTAAAATGACATTTCTCTCTTGGTTATTGAAACAATATATGTGTCAGAGTAGAACTCTGTGCTATAGGGGTTTTAGTGGCTGATTTTTCAGAAATCGGTAGCCAGTCCTTTCTTCTGAGATGCTTCTGGGTAGAATCAAACCACCAAACTTTTGGTTAGTAACCAAGTGCTTATCCATTTACACTGCGCAGGATTAGTACCCACTTGGTGCACCAGCACAGAAACACAAAGTACTCCTCTGTAGAGTATGTTCATATATGTACAGACGTTTCAGAGTTGCAGTCATAGGAGTGCAGCTTATTAGATTGTGAACCCCATTGAGGCTTTATCAGTAGAGCAGCAGGGAGAGAACATCAGGAGAAAGGAGCACCATCTGCTTCTTTGCTTGATAGCAGGAAAGAGGCTTCTTGGGTGGAGGAGTTTGAAATAAATATTTGATGTAAAAATATGATCACTTCGTACGTTGTGTTCAGTATTTTCCTGTCTTTCTGATCACTAAGCATTAAAGATAGAAAGGTCAAAGGCTTCTGAGTAATGGATCCCCTAATAGAGAACAGAAGTTGGGATCACAGTAAGGCCTCCACGCAGCTTCTTTTTGCCCAGAAGGCCGACCTTTTTTCTTTTAATAGCTCTCTTACAGATACTCAGATGAGTTATAACCAAAACATTTCTTGTTTTAGCTGAAGGAGGCTGAGGCCACTGTACTGGAAATCCCCCCTCAGGAGTTTGGTGAATTACTTCCCAGTCATTACTGAAATAATCAGTCCGATGCCTGGGAGTGCTGACCATATTGGTTCTACTGGCTTTCCTGCCTACATTGTCTGGAAGCCAACACCAGCTTCCTGTTGCTATTGGCTGTGCCAGGTCAACTGTCCATCTGCCTCACAATTGTCAGGCTTGGCTTCCAGAGAGGAGCAGATGGGGCTCTGGTACTAGGAAAAGTGATTTCCTCAAAATTGCACACACCTCCTTTTTTAAAAAGATAGTTTTCGTTATGTTCTTATTAGGTGCCGTTGAGTTGGTCCCGGCAACACAGTGCATGAAAGGATATTCAAACCACTGCCCAGTGTTTTGCTAGTCTTCCAATTGGTGCTAAATTTGAGCCCATTACTGCAGCCATTGTAGGGTTGCTATGAGTTGCATTCAGTTTGACGGCGTATAACAGCAGCAGCATGCCCGTTGAGGGCCTGTTTGTTTGTTTGGTTTTGGTTGACCCTCCATTTTACCAAGCACGATACTCTTCTCCAATGACTGGTTCCTCCTTACAACATGTCAAAGTACAAGAGGCCATGTTCTACCACCCTCTCTTCTAAGGAGCATTCTGGTTGCATTTCAAGACTGATTGTTTATTCTTTTGGCAGTCCATGGTCTATTCAGTGTTTTCAGCCAGCAACATAATTAAAGATATCAGTTCTTCAGTCTTCCTTACTTGTGTTAAACCTCACATGTGAAGTAATTGAAAATACCATAGGTTGGGTCCTGTACACCTTAGCCCTCAAAGTGACATCTTGACTTTTTAGCACTTTAAAGAGGTCCTCTGCAGAGCATTTGTGCAATGCATTACATCATCAGATTGTTTCTTTGTTGATGCTGCCAAAGGTGTGGATTATGGATCTAAGCAAAATTCAATCATTGACAACCTTAGTGTTTTCCCCATTTGTCCTAATGCTTATCATGTCCAGTTGTTAAGATTTTTGTTTTGTTTATATCAACATATAATCTGTACAGAAGTCTTTGATCTTCATCAGTGTGTTTCAAGTCCTCTCCACCAACAGCAAGCAAAGTTGTATCATCTGTGTATCATAAGTAATGTGTATTCCTCGGCTACATGAAGAACATGTCGTCAGGAATGGAGGATTATATCAGTTCTTCACTCTTCATTACTTGTCTTAACCTTCACATCTGAAGTGATTGAAAATACCATAGCTTGGGTCCTGTACGCCTTAGCCCTCAAAGTGACATCTTTATTTTTTAGCTCTTTAAAGTGGTCGTCCGCAGAGCATTTGTCCAATGCATTACATCATCAGAGCATTTCTTCATTGATGCTTCCAAGGGTGTTGATTATGGATCTGAGCATACAGACTGAATAAGTGTGATGGAAGGAGACAACCCTGACTTATACCTTTCCTGATTTTAAAGCATGAACTGTCCCCTTGTTCATTTGTACAACTGCCTGTGGTCTATGTACAGGTTCGACATAAGCATAATTAAGATTTCTGGAATTCCCGGTTTTTTGCAATATTATCCATAATTTGTTATGAACCATGCAGTCCAATGCCTTTACACAGTTAGTGAAACATAGATAAAAAGCCTGCTGGTATTCCTTGCTTTCAGAGAAAGCATTTTATTTGCCATTAGCAGTGGCTTTATTTTCTGGCACTTCCATGTTGATGAACACATGCAACCATTCTTGGGTTATTTTCAGCAAAATTATACTTGTGTATTTTAGTAGTGTTCAGTCTGGATGCTGAGCAAATCATTCAAGAAGCTGGACTCTCTGAAGAAGAATGTGGCATCAGGATTGGAGGAAGACTCATCTGCATTATCCAGATGACACAACTTTGCTTGCTGACATTGAGGAGGACTTGAAGAACTTGATGCAGAAGATCAAAGAATGTTGTTGTTGTTATGTGCCATCGAGTCGCTTGTGACTCAGAGTGACCCTATGTACAACAGCCCTAAACTCTGCTCTGTCCTGTGCCAGTCGCACCGTCTCCGACACAGCCATCCCGATTATCCCAGTCACTGACTCAATCCACCTCATAGAGGGCCTTCCCCTCCTGCACTGTCCCTCCACCCTCCCAAGCATGATGTCCTTCTCCAAGGACCGGTCTCTCCTCACAACATGTCTAAAGTATGTTAGATGGAGCCTCAGGATCCTTGCCTCCAAGGAGCCACCACCATTCAATATGGATTATACATTAATGTAAAAAACCCAAAAATCTTCGCCACTGAACTTATAGGCAACATCATGACAGAGGGAGAAAAGTTTGAAATTGTTGACTTCCTCTTATTTGGATTCACAGTCTACACATTTGTTTCTAGCAGTGAAGAGATCAGGAATTGTAGTGCATTGGGAAAGTCTGCAGTAAATAACCTAGAATTACAGAGAGGCAGTTCTATCAGTTTGAAGACTAAGGTGCACCTGGTTCAAGCCACAGTCTTTTCCGTCACTTGATATGCATCTTAGAGTGAATAAGGATAACAGAATGAGAATTGATGCCTTTGAGCTGTGGTGTTGGAGAAGAGTGCCACATAGTCTATGGATTGCCAAAAGAGCAGACAGATCCTCTTGGAGAAAGTGCAGCCACACTGCTCCTTGGAGGCAAGGATGATAAAGCGTCTTCTCACATTATTTTAGGCATGTTGCTAGGAGAAGCAGTTCCTTGGAGAGGGACATCATGCTTGGAAAGGTGGAGGGTCGACGAAATGGTTTGACACAGTGACTGCAGCAGTGAGCTCAGGCGTCAGAGATGATGAGACGGCGCAAGGCAGAACAGGGTTCAGATCTGTTGTTCATAGAGTTGCTGTAGTTGTACTCTGCGGCGCCTAACAACAACAACAATCTTAATTATATTGTTTGACAATTTCCACATTGTTCTGGACGGATCACCTGTCTCTGGAGCAGGCACAAATATAGATTTCCTTTTTCTCATATTTTCTCTGTATGCTTATAATGGGAGTTAAGGCACATACCAAAAAATTAACCTTTTTTATTGCCAAAATATTTATTTTTATTACTCTGCCCCCATTTCTGTTGAAAACATTCACACACACAAGTGGCCTGTGGTTTTTATGTGTGTCTTACATGTGTTTTTTGTCGTATTGTCTTTTACAGTCGAAATCAGCTGTCTGCCCTGCCAGCCTGCCTGTGTGGTCTGCCTCTCAAAGTCTTAATTGCAAGTAACAACAAACTTGGATCCCTGCCGGAAGAGATAGGCCAGCTCAAACAGTTAATGGAATTGGTATGTTATTGATTCCCAAGATGTGACTTCCTGTTTGTTTCATGATGTTAACCTAGCAATGCAGAAAGGACTTGTTGTAATGGTTGGACAAGGAGTAGCTTGTTTGAGGACAGTTTATTATAGACATTAGTAAGAATGGTAACAACACAGTTTTTAAAATCATTTGCAGATTATTATTATATTGCAGTCAGCTATTTTAAGATGGTATTTAATTTATAATGATAAATTGGCAAAATAATCTGCACAAATATGTTTCTGTCTCTCTCCTTCTCTCCTCCCCTTCCTCCCTCTCCCCCTCTTTATTTCACATTGCCATTGAGATAGATTTGGCTCATAGGTGACCTTCTGGTAGGATGCAAAGGCTGAAAATCACATGAGAGAAGATTGACCATCTTTCTCCCTCAGAGCTGCTGATGGTTTCGAACAGCCAGAGCAGCACAGCCTTTTGGGTTACTGGCACATTTCCCTTCAGACAAGGCCACCAGAGCTCCCTGATGTAGTAATAGGCCACACTTTATAAAGCTAGAAAGGACAGAACACTCTGATTTTGTCAGAGTTATAGAATGCACTGCCCCAGATTCATCCTCACTTTCAAAGTGTGACTGTGCCTCCAGGGATTTAAAAACAGAACAGATTTTCTAGGGCAGAGATGGGTAAATGTGTGCTTAAAGCCAAGATGCACTGTTCAAGTTCAACCCTTTCATTACTTACCTTGTCTATAACTTGCCAAAGAGTAAATCCTTTCCGTGTTTCCTTGAGTTAAAAGTTGGGGTGGGGGGAGGCAGGGATTAACATTCATGTTAAAAGGCAATTGTCAGAATTTATCTTATTGTGGTACAAATGGTTTAAAGTGCTCAACTTCTACTAGAAAGATTGGTGGTTCGAATCGACCCAGAAGTGCTTTGGCGAAAAGGGTTGGTGATCTCAGTCTCAAAGACCACAGCCATTGAGAACGCTATGAGGTCATAATGAGTCGGAGTGGGTTTTACTGCAGTGGTGTTTGCTGAGGAATCACTGCACTAGCCAGGACTCTTTACCTTCACTTATCAAAACCTAAGCCCACTGCTGTTGAGTTGGTTCTAACTCATAGTGACCCCTCATTGGGGATTTCATGGATGTTAGTTTTAAGAGGAGAATGCTGTTCATCTTTCTCCCTCATGTTCATCTTTCTCCCTCAGAGTCGTAGATTCGAGCCAGCAATGTTTGGGTTAGCAGCCAACACACTGTGCACTATGTCCTGCGGGGTCCTTTGACTTTAGTACAAAAACCAGTAAACTACTTCATATAGGAATTAGAGTTTTAAGAAAGAATATCTTCTTTCAGCACACATTTGAATGTCATGATTGAAAAGTCTTAAAAGTAACTTACACCAAAAGTAGGACTTGGTTATTAGAATGCAAAGGTCTATAATGCCATTCAGTATCAGGAAATTTCATTATCAATTGGACAATGACTAAGGATGACAGAAAAAAAAAAAATAAACGCCTTCGAGTTGTGGTGCCGGAGAAGAGTCTTGAGCATATCATGGACTGCCTAGAAAATAAATATGTCTGTCTTAGAGAGGTTGACACTAAGTCTCTCCTTGAAGGCTAGGAATTTGAAGTTTTGCCTCACTTACTTTGGGCACATGGCCAGGAGAGCTCGGTCCTTGAAGAAGGACATCATGCTTGAAAGAGTGAAGGGACAGCACAGGAGAGGGAGACCTCGGATGAGATGGATTGACACAATAACTGGGTGATGTGGCTGGTGAGTCAGAATTAGTGAGACTGGCTCAGAACAGGGCAGGGTTCAGAGCTGCTGTACATAGGGTCGCCGTGCATCGTAGGCTATTCAACCAGTTAACATTTTGTGACAGGTTTGGAAGCAGGAGTGGCATCCACTTCCTATACAACATGCCTCTGGAAACTCTATGAACTTTGATAAGTGTTGATATTTGTAGAGGGTCTTCAGGCCTTTTGTTCATAGAATTGGTATGAGTCATGCTCAGTTCGGAGGCAATTAACAACAACAATAACAACATCAGGAAATTTAGTTAACTGTCATGAGCAACTTAGAATAAGATACTCAAAAGTTATGAAGAACCAAGACAGCGATTTATTTTTCTCTCAGCTCCTTGCTTCTGTGTATAATGGCAGAGGTTTCGCTGCCCACAGATGACAGAGACCTTCTAGCATCTTTTAAACTTCTTTTAAGTAAGGAACAATGGCAGGGTCAGTATCCAGTGTCCTCTTCTGACTCTTGTCAACTGTAGTCAGGGCTTAGAGTCCTGTTATGCAGACCAAGCCACTCAGATGCCTCCAAGCAGAGGAATCTAAAGGAAGGTAGAGAGTGATTTGAAGAAATGTGTGTAAGTTAGAGTGACTGGTTCTCTTGAGGTTGGGAGCTATTTGTAAAGGAAGATCTGTTGAGAGATTCTTTGCATTAGTTATTTGGTGCAGCTAGAACAGAAATACAGGTGTGTGGCTTTAAAGAATGGAAATACATCTTCCTGCATCTTGGAAGACTATGATGTCTGAATTTAGAGCATTGACACTTGGAGAAGACTCTCCCTATTGACTCTTTGTCTTGACTTCTTAGTCCCAGCCTTCTTGGGCTCCTGTTGATCTTCCTCTGGCACATGCCATTCTCTCATTTGTCCTTGTTTGTTTTGGTGGCTTTATGGCCCCCTCCTTTTTTTTCTTTCTTCATAAAAGTGTGCCTGATAGATTGAATGCTAGCAAGGTAGCCCCCTTTTTGACTCAGAAGTGATTGAGGTGTCATTAGCAAAATAAAAGAAAACACTCTTAGCACCATGGGCTTGAGCATGACAGAAATTTTGATGAGGGGCAGGATCTGGGTTCAGAGCTGTTGTTCTTAGGGTCACTAGCAACAGCATTACCAAATGGGATTACATATGGAAGTTAGGATCTAACACATGTTTGGAGGAAACATGGCTATATCAATAACAGCTTTAAATGAAGCTTGGTGGGATTTTCTAAACTGAAGAAAAACAGGCAGGGAAATCATTGCATGGAGATGGGAGAGCTGTGCAGAGGCCTAACTAGCTGACACACTTGGGATGTAGAACAGGGTTAATTCTACTGAGATTTTTGGAAGAATGAGGCTGGGTGATTTATTCATTTAGCTACCCTTAGATTTAGGCTGCCGCCAGCCCCTTCATGTGACATTCACAGTTTCCTCTGGGGACTGGACTCTTCAGATTCATCTCTGCCTCATTGATGACATAATTCTGGAAACACACCTTATTTAACCCTTCATCTTTGGACATGTTGTAAGGAGGGACTGATCCTTGAAGGAGGACATCATGCTTGAGAGGGTGGAGGGACAGCACAGGAGGGGAAGGCCCTCTATGAGATGGATTGATTCAGTGACTGGGGTAATCGGGATGGGTGTGTCGGAGACAGTGCGATTGGCACAGGATAGAGCAGAGTTTAGGGCTGTTGTACATAGGGTCGCTATGAGTCGCAAGCAACTCAACAACAACAACATTACTCTTTTTATGTAGATCTTTTCTTTCTTCTCTTTCCATTCTCATTTTGATTAGTTGAGCCAAGCGTGAGCTCTCCTTCTCCACTAGGCCTTTCGTCAGAGGGCAAGTCTGAGCTGGATGCTCTTCGAGCAGATACCCTGTGCTTACCATGTCATTTTCATGCACTCACCATTGCATTTGTGCATAGTTTGCCCCACACTAGCTCCCACAAAACCCTGGAGATTGTGTCTTCCTTGTTTCCTGGGTGCCTAGCACACGATAGAAAACAAAACGGTTGCTCCCAAGTTCATGTCGACCCAGTGGGTGCCATAGTAGAACCATATTCTGTCATCTCTGAAATACTACTCACTCATCCTTAAAAGATGCTCTGATACATCCTGCAATGTGAATGAACCTGTCATCTTTCAGATGTAGGCAGCCAGGTCTTTCTTTTGAGAAGTTTTTGTTGTGTGTGATCCAGTTGGAACTGACACCTATCTGACCCTCCACCTGGTATTTAGAGGCAGTAATCATTCAGAAGGAGATTTCCCATCTGTCTCCTGCAGAGAGCTGGTGGATCTGAAACGTGTGCCTTTGGGATTGCAGCCCAGCATGTTACCACTAGGCCACCAGAGCACCTAAGGAGCCTCTAGGTGAATTCAAATGTGACTTTCCAGTTAATAATCACAGGCTCAATAGTTTACGCTGCCAGGGCTTCTTGCATTTCCACGTAAGAAGGTTTTCTTAGCAAATTGCCTGGTATTGCTCCTGTGGAGTTATTGAGAGTGTTCCAACCATGGACAGTTTTGTTGTTAGCAGCTCAGAGCGTTTCCATCAAGTTGGAAATGTCTCATAGCTGACCCTCCCTGGGGGTTTTGGAGGCTATAAATTGCATGGGAGGAGATTGCCCATCTTTTTTCTGATGAGCTACTAGTGGATTGAGATGAGCAGAGAGGCCCCACCTTTGCATTTCCTAACCACTACACCACCAGTACTCCCTTGTGTTAGATGCCCATAAAGGTTTGCTCAATGTTACCTTATTGCAGAGACTGAGCCTGGAAAACTAGGCTGGCATTAAGGAGATACAAAACGCGAGCACAGTGAAATCTAAATTCAGTCCTGTTAGGAGTGCTGAGATTAAGATTGGTGAGGATTGGAGAATCCAGACCCTCGTTCATCACTGATGAGAGCATGCTTTGCTATAGCCTCTGTGGCAAACAGAAAGCCCATCAAAAATGAAAATATTTCTACCTTCAGACCCAGCAGTCACACTCTCGGTTGTGTTCCCATGAGACTTGAGAGCAGTGACACCAAAGACACGTCTCCCAGTGTTGATTTGCAGCACAGTAGCCAAAAAATGGAACCAATTGAAATCCCCACCAACAAAGAAAGTGCTAAGTGACATTCAGTGTGTGTAGCTGTGGAATAGTACTCAGCCATAAAGAGAAGGGAAGTTCTGATACATCCTGCAACCCTGCAACATGCATGAGCCTTGTAAAACATTGTGCTGAGTGAAAGAAGTCCATCACAA